TGTTTTGGTTTGCATCCATGGAAAAGCCGCAGTCAGAGTTACTTAAACACACAAACATGGGGGGATAATTGTGTAAAAGGATTAGAATGGCTGAGACTCTATTGCGCCACAAGGGGAAATATGTAAGACTATCATGTCTGGTTGGACACATTCTTCTGTGATTGCTAAACACACATTCAACTTAACTAACCTACCTGCTGCAGCGTAGACACACAGGTAACAATGCTCCCACCCAGACAGTTTATTTTCACTGTGTGGTAGAAATACAGCCATGAAGTGTGAGGGGAGAGAAATCTGAAAGACAGGTTGCAACCGCTTGACTACCAAACACCCAGCAGCACTTTTTTTTATAGAAGAAGATTAAACAAATGTTCAGTGTCCCCAGATGTTGCTGCATGTGCATTTTGTTACAAAACACACAATAGTTTGTAATATATTACATCTTGTTGTGACAAGCATAGGTGAAAAAGGGGGGGTTGAGGTATAGTTATAGCTGGTAAAGCAGGTTGGCTGTTCATTGTTTGGAGATGTTAGAAATTTGATCAGCTGTTTTCAACTTGTTAAAGTTTCCTTGAGTGAGACACTGAAGCCACAACTTGTACTATACAGTATGTAAAAGGGAAGGAAATACTGTATATACAAATTTGCCTATTAGGGTGTTTATGACTCCACTAAAGTGGTTGTTGGATGGTCAATCTGTGTCCCTCCCCCAGCACCTTTCAGGCAATCATACTCACTTTACATAATGACTGAAGATGTGGCCCACCAGAGATTGTGGTCTTTCATGAGATTCAGAAACACTCTTGCCTTCCAAAACTTTGTTTGAAGTGTATGCACGTTTAAGCACCTGCCAGATGACTACTGTAATGACTATGCACCAGCATCTCTTAAAAATAACAAGAACAACAACAAAAATGTTTGAAATGACAGGAATTGCACTACAAACCTTATTACTTCAGTCACTGTCGGATCAGTTGGTAATTGAATTAAGTTGTCAACCCTGATGCACTTTTGGAATGCTTCTATCTCATGGAATGTAATGAATAATTATTTTCCTTTACACACACATACACACCTTGCATGAAACCAGACACACCTTTCTTCAACGACAGAGAGTGGTGAGTTTCCAAAATAGCAGTCAGTTCATGAAATCTTATTCACCTCCTCAGCATCTCCCAGGGCCTCAGCGGAAGGGTGTGTGAGACAGACAACAGTGTCTCTGTCCCGTCAAAACAAAGGTAACTAGCCACTTACACACCTCAGGGCTTCTATTCGGTTTCAATACACTTAACGGATGGATCATATCAGCACGGAACTAGCAGCTAGGAGTGAATGGAGGAGGAAGAGGAGTTTTTTTTTTAATGTTTTTGTTTGTGTGTTTTGTTGTGGCACTGGGTTCATCTCTCTCTCTCCCTCTCTCTCTCTCTGTGTGTGTGTGTGTGTGTGTCTCTGTGCAGCTGTATAACCAGTCCCTCTGTTGACAGTGCCAGTCCAAACACAAACATCATTGGTCTTTAATGATGTGATTATCAGGCAACACACACACAAACAAACAACATAAATCTAATGAAGATAATCTCACATGAGATTTGATTAATATGGTTAATTAAAACATAAATATAATAAACAGTTTGAAATTCTGTCTGTGTGTCTGTCTACCACTTGGTTTGAGCTGGTATCTGACCATAAATGAATATTTATAAGATGGATAGCAACGTGTGAGTGTGTGTATATATATATATATATATGCCCTTTTTTCTATACTTGTGGGGACCCAAAACTGGGATTCCACTTACTTTGTGGGGACTTGTTTGCCTTATGGGGACCCACTCCTGGTCCTCACAGAATAAATCACTGAATTTTATGGAGACAGCTTGGTTTATGATTAGTGTAAGGTTGGGGTTGGGTTAAGGAGATGAGGTTAGGGTAGGTCTCCAGGAAATGAATGTAAGTCAGCATAAAGACCTGCTAAGTGACAAAAACAAGGATATATGTGTATGTGTGGGTGCGGTCAATTCAGACACCTGGCCTCTGGACAGCTGCTACCGAGACACATGCTGCTCAGTGTTTGTCCTCCAGCACACACACACACACACACACAAACAAACAAACACACATACTGGCACCTTCAACTTTACTGCGTGGCCATAAACCAAAGACAACACAAACAGCTTCTAAATCAACAGGTTGTGGCAGAAATGGCATCGCAGCCATCAGAAAGATTCATTTCTCATTAGCAGCTTTGCAAACCTCCTGCCAAATTCACCATCACTGCACATTTTATGCTGTTCCTTGTGATAGAATTTTAAAAATAAAAGCTTGTAGATGTGGTTTATAGTTTGACTGCATGCATCCAGTTTTTCTAGTTGAGGAACTTGCATAGTTTGTGGTCTGTGGCAATGATTTTTCTTCTTTTTTGAATGAGAATGTCAGTTGGTGAATGTTTTGATGCATGTGGGATGGGCCATTTAAATAACATTAGACCTCAGTTAATTCATCATTTGTACAATTAAAGACTACTCAGTCTAAAATGAAAAGGGATTCCGTTTATTGCTGCTCAGCTGTTTACTGGTCCATATGACTGTTATCATTTCTGATCTCTACAGGCTTTTGTTTTTGTTATTGTTGTTTGTTTGTGTGTTTTATGCCCTTGTCACAGAAGATAGATTTAACATAAATTGTGAGCTAAAGTTAGTCAGAGCCTTGGCTCATACTTTCAAAAATCACTACAGTTAGGTATTTGTTGCCTTGATGCTCAAATGTATTTTATATCTATTTCACACAGTGGACTGCGGTAAAACACTAAAAATGGTTACGAAGGCGCTCCACCTCTGAAGAACTGAATCAGGTCTGCCAAGTTTCAATCTTCACTGACAGTTATCTAATGTCTTGTACTTTGAAAAAAAAATCTCTGATTATGAAAGATTAATGACATTTTCACTTTTTTAACAACAGTAAAGGTTGAGAAGGTTTGGAGGGTTTGTTTTTTTAACTGGGTCGACTGCTTTGTCATTTAAAATATTGAAATGTTCAAGACAAACTGGAAAAAGGATGAACGACAAAACTGACTTTTTTCATCTTTGTCCAATCCCTTACAGACGTATAAACAGCTGGCACACCACATGCTGAGTCTACACCACCTTTGTTGGGTAAGATTTGAACAACCTTGTAGCTTTGTCTTAGGTGTGTGTGTGTGTTTGTAAGGGAAGGTCAGGTTAGGCTGTGTCTAAACAGGCCGTGTGCCCTGAAGCTGCTTGTACTGCAGGAGATACGGGGTTACCCTTCATCTCCTTCCCTCTGCGTCCTTTCTTGTTTTTTCTCTTCCCTCCTCTCACTTCCACTGTGCTACACCACCATCAATGACCAGTCTCTGCCCTACCCCTCCTTCAACTCCACATCCCATAAACATGACTGCTGACGTGCTTCTGCCCACTTCCCTTTGTTAAGACAAATTGTAATTCTTTCCTTTTTCTACCCTTCCTCATGAAAACATGTGTGTTTGTGTGTGTGGTAGGATTGGGGATGCAGGGGAAAGAGAGCACATCAGCATACCAGTCACACACAGCTGTTTGTATTCAGTCTTGGGCGTCAGAGAGGGATTGAGAGAGAATGACAGAAAGTAGAGGACAGCCTCACCACAGATTTGTCATCTCCTTGAAATACATGCATATCACTGACTTCAAATGAAGAACATTTCTGTAATGTTTATGTAATTCAACAGTGTATTTCCATGAAGAACTGTCAAGTCACTTTATTCATTCTAAAACAAGAGTTTTCAAATCAAAGGTAAAAATCAAATGTTATGGACAAGCAGCAAAGACTGGGACATACAGTAACATACATTATAATAAATAAACTGGCCTTTGAGAAGAAACCCCTAATATTAGCAGTCAGTCAGTCAGTACAGGTCAAAACCTCAGAGATCCAAAGGATTTCTCTTATATCTCCAACTGATATAAATATTCTGCATTTTGTACCAGATACCATATATTTCAAAAGATTCAATAAAGGAAATTATTTGCGACATTGGTTGCCACAGGCTTCAGTCACTGGGGCAAGCAGCTGCACATGTTAAGTGGCACTGACAAATCAATTTTTTATTTAGTCAGTAATTATGTATTTATATAAAATGTCAATTTTAGGAAATTGTGGCAAGTAAAAACCACAATGAAACAACAAACAGATACAGTCCATAAATGAATGTATTCTACATATTATGGTAACTGATTAGTACTGAGCACAGACTATATATGTTTGTGGTCATAACTGAGTATATCAGTAACCATCTGCACAGGTCATGATGACCTGTGTGCCTGTCCATTCAGCGTTTATTGATTATCATATAACAAGTGCCTCAAAGTTTAATGTGAATTTTGGGAAGTCTGCAGTATGCTATAAAGTCTCCTCAATTTAATCAGTGCCTTAATCTATCATTCTGAATTTATGACAGTGTAAGCTACTGCACCATTTTGTAAATTGAAACCAAAGGCACGTCCTATATTGCTATTAAAGATAACTGAATTTTGAGTTGCCATTGCTGTGCATGTGGAGACTATAGAGGGGTCATCCTGTGATCCCAGTAACAGTAAGTGTGTGTCCATCATGGGACAGGTGTCCTGTAAATGTGTCCTTAAACACCCAAGCCTCCCCTGCAGAAGAGCCACAAGGTGTCTTAAATAGAGCTCCTCATTCTTTATTCAAAGATCAGATGGGTTTTCCAAATTTTGTCCACATCAGATTTCACCAAGAGGCTCTGTCGCCTTCCTGAGGCCAGATAAATAAGGATCAGGTGACCGGGACACTGCAGTGAAAACGAGAGTCCCCTTCCGAGGTCAAACTGTTGCTGTTTGACTGACGGCCAGCTGGAAACCTGCTGCTAACACACACAGTCCGTGTGTGTGTGTGTGTGTGTGTGTGTGTGTGTGTGTGTGTGTGTGTGAGAGAGAGAGAGAGAGAGAGAGAGAGAGAGTGGAAGAGGGAGAGAGAGAAGAGCTGGCACGTCTGCTACTGCGTCTGTCCAGACAACTCTCTCTCTTTCTCTCTCTCTCGCCCTATCACACACTCTCGGGAGCAGCGCTTTGACGCACCAAGCAGAGTTGGATTGTAGTATTGCGCGCTGGTCTTTCACGGGGCTTTTCCCTTCCTCACATCGCCTACACCTTTGCCACTCACGGGCAGCTGATATATGATCGGATTCAATATTTCTCCATCACGTTGACCTCAACAGAGCTTTTGGGGAAACCGAACGCCGCCACTGCTTCCTCGCCGGACGCGTGTTGTGAATTAATAACCCAGACAGCCTCACCTGGAGTGTGTGTGCATGCAGTGAAGTGTGTGTAAGAGAGTGTGTTTTTCTGGAGCAGGTCAAGGATCGAGGTGTTCCACTGGCTTCGGTCCACACACGCATATTTACATACACAAACACAACAGACCCCGGAGAGATTTCGGCACTGCATGCCGGGGACATGTGGAAGTTTGCGCCGCTGTAGCGCAGCCAGAGAGCCGGTTCACCGTTTATACGACCTCCCCTCTCTCTGCCAAGGGGGACCAAACTCCCGGTTCACAGCCTCTACACACTGAACCCCCTCTAAGAAGACCCAGATGTAAATCTAGAACGGAAAATCTCCGAAACTCGCGCCTGCAAAGGGAGGACAGTGAAAAGGACGGCATCCCATTGCGTACAGAGTTTGGTGAGCTCTTTCAGGGATTTCAGGGCTTGTATTTTTTTTAACGCCCTTGTATTTTCTCTGTATTTTGTGGGTCTCATATTGGCCCGCACTTGCCGCCGTGATGGTGGGACCTCCGAGCCCCTTTGTTTCTGGCCGCTCCCCGGCGACTGCACTGGGACTGCTGGTAGCTGTTCTGATCCTGGTCCTGTCCAGCGGAGCAGACGGCCAACCCTGCCCGACCCAGTGCTCCTGCACCGGGACTACAGTGGACTGTCACGGCCAAGGGCTCCGCAGTGTGCCCAGGAACATACCCCGCAACACGGAGAGACTGTAAGTACTGAGACAAATCTTAACTGGTATCACCAACAGAGTGTTTTTTTTTAAATCATAGTCTACACAGTCCTAAAAAACGGATTAATATTTTGTTATATTTGCATATATATCCCTGTTAAACCTAATGCTGATAAGGACATTACACATTTGTAGAAGAAAAGAGCTTAACATTTTATCAAAAACTACATCTAAGGATTACGTTTCATTACCCTAAATGCTGCTGAATCCTACTGATGTGAAATTTAGTTAGTCCTGTAAATCAGAAGAACACATCTTAACCTACTGCTTGTGTTTTACACGAGGACACGTTAGGCCTGCTGCCGAAGTTCGGGGCACTGCTGTGGTTGTGTTGGTGGTTTCGCACTGTTGCATTAGCACAGCCTCCGTATACCACATCGGTTTGTCTGGAGACCAGCAAGTTAATCAAAAACGGATTTGGACAAGTGGGCTTTGAGTTAAACAGGCTGTATTTTCTTAGACAAAGACCCCTTGATGAAATTAAAAATTGCCCTGTAAAGTGCAGCAGCCACAGCTCCTCTAATTTCTCTGACGCTCAAATAACAATTTTTTACATAGGTTGCACCAGGGCACACAAAGTAAAAAAAAAACTTCAATAGACAGCTTTGTCCTTGTTTTATTAGCATATATACCATGCACTGACAGTCCCTTCTTTACCCATTTCTTTGTCTAGGGATCTGAATGCAAACAACCTCACTAAAATCACCAAGGCGGATTTTGCAGGACTGAGGCACCTGCGAGTGTTGTAAGTGGCTTTTATCTTTTTTTATTTCGTCCTTTCTTTTCATTAGTTTTTTTGTCTTTGCATATGCAAAAGAAAACAAAAGTACTCTCATGCAGAGCTCTGAAAAGCAGCACCTTGCATATGGAAACAACTTTTCCAAAAAAAAAACACCCCAGCGCATGGATGTAACTGTTCCGATCCTGTCAGACTCGTCCAGCCTCGGAGCTGCCGCATGCAGCACTGCATTGCCTTGGGAATCAGGGGTTTCATAAAACTCAGTCCTCATGTGTGTCTAAACAGTATAGCAGTGACACCTGTTAATGCTGTCGTGTTAATCTTCCAGTGGAAGTGTCAGGAGGGTCTTATTTTAACCACCCGGGCCCGAGGCCCATGTGCTGGAATGATTAACGCGCTGGCGAGGACGTGATGGAGGGCAAAGAGGGAAGGAGATAGCGGTCATTACGCGTAACTGCGGAGGAAGGAATGCAGCTAGAAGGGGGCGAAGGGTGGAAGGGAAGTGGAGAAAGGGTAGGGAAAGGAATGGGGAGAATCAAGTAAGAACAGGTTTCTTACCTGGGATGAATCCAGGTTAAGATTCCCCTACGCCAACAGCGGAACTGAGACAGGGATATCCTGCTGTTATTGTGTGTGTGTGTGTGTGCTATTCAGCTATTGAAAGTGAATGACAGGGAATACACATAGCTGGAATTCCTCCAGAGATTATGTCCCTAATTGGGTGCGTGTGCTTATGCGTGTGCGCGCGCACCCCAGTCTAACATGCTCACTGTTTCCTGTATGTTCTACCCGAGGGCACACACACACACACACACACACACACACACCTTCCGCCCTCTGAATCTCACTTAGCGCTAGAACATTTAGTCTATTAGTGCATCAACAACACATTCACTGACAAGCATGGATTCATCGTTTTCTGTCATTTTTCAACCAAAAATACCCAAAACATTCTGCTTGTAACTACTCAGATGTGACATCTGCTGTTTTTTTTATGCTAAGATACAGAGTGGGTTGACACAGTTGATCAAAACAAGCATTTTGAAATCACTGGGAAACTGTAAGATCCCCCTTTCAGCATTTCTAACATTTTATAAATTAAACGATGATTTAAAACTTCAACAAATTAATCAAGAATGAAAAAATCATAGCAGCCCTGATTTCAGTGTATAAGCCAGTTATATCTGCTTGTATATGTGCATCTTCTTGATTATCACGAGCTGACAGTGTACAGCCTATAAAATGTGTGTGTTTGTGTGTGGCAGCTTGGCTTGGTCAGCACACTAGTGTAAGTGAATGAGTAGTCACAGCCATGTGATTAGATAGAGAGTAAATTGGATGATAGATGAGTCCCTGTCCAACTGATGGGCCAGTTTTAGAGTCAATTCTGGGGCTCTATTGACCTGCTGCTGATTGGCTTCTTTCTCTCTCTCTTGCTGTTTCAACATTCTTTCACTTTCAATCTACAGCAATCTGGTTTTCTTCTGTATCTTCTCCATCTCTCTCCCCCCAACTCCTCTCCAGTGTCCGTCTCTTCACCCCTCTTGTGCCCTATCTCACTTACCTTCTTTCCCTTTTCTCTCTCTTATCTGTGGCCTCATCCAGCCATCTTTCCCTTTTTCTTTGGCTTCTCATGGTTTCACCACACTTACTGTATCTTTCCGTCAGCTCTCATGCACTATGTTTCTTCCTGTCACTGTTTCTCCCTCTCCTCTTTTGTTCTGTCATGTTCTTATTGTCTCACTCTCTCCTGGTGTTTCTCTCTCAGGCAGCTGATGGAGAACAAAATCACCACGATTGAGAGAGGAGCCTTTCAGGACCTGAAGGAGCTGGAGAGGCTGTGAGTAAAGTTGTTGTGCTTCCGTTTTGCTATTAATGCAAACAAATGCATGCATACACAAAAATATGCCACAAAGACACATATGTTCATTTTCACATAGGTGCATGACCTTAAAAATATACAGATGGGTAACAAATGAAAGACAAGAACTAACGTGAAGTGTGGTATGAAGTCAGCCACCACAAGCTCCTTCAGTACTCCTTGGCAAAGAGTCTCCAAGTTTGTGGATCTCTACTGGAAGAATGAAGACCATTCTTCAAAATGATGTTCCCTTATTTGGTGTTAGAGAGCTGTTTAAAGGCCCAGACACACTGTACAAAAATGGCAAACTTGAAGGTTCACTGCGTGTTACATGGTATGGGGTGGGGTAAATAAAATCTTTCCTTGTGGCAGCCTATGTGAGACAGCACAATATCAATTCTGAGCATGTCAGGTTGTGCCACAAATTCCTGGTGTATCATAGCAGCAATGCTCCTGTATGCAGCAGTGAAAAGTTGGAAAGCATGCTACTAGAGACATATCATCAACTAACATCATCCATTCAGAAATGAAGCTACCGTTTTGTATCAGCTGGTGACTTCTGCATCATTTTGTGCCTTTTAAATTAGTTCTTCGGCTGTGTTGACGTCAGTTGTTGCAGTAGACACACACTGAGAATTTTATTATAAATTTCTGAACTTTGATGCAGACCGTCTTTAGTTTCAAGGACTAAAATCAGCCATCGGTGGGGATATCTTAAGTGCAATCTAGGACAAATGTTTTCACCACATTTGACTCTTGGCTGTCCATCATTTGTCAGGAAGAGCCCTGAAGTCATACAAAAAAACATGCCTAAACATATCGGTCCAAAGTCTGCTATAGATACTCAGTCACTGTCATAACTTGTCAATACATGCACTAAACCCCTGCGACTTGTGCGAGAGCATTTGTTATGTATCTACGCTCATTCGGACCTGCCCTTTAATCTGTCACCTCTTTAGCCCTTTTCAGACGTGCACTGGAATCCTGAAATTATCTAGACGTTACCCGGAGGAACTGTATGTGAGAACGCAAATGAACCTGGACATTAAGTGGACTTTACCCTGCCAGCTCCCTAGCACAAAGTCCACATAATGTCCGAGTGAGCCGGAGTAAGCCCATCTAAGAAAACAACAGTGTATATTCTGGAGCATTTACAGTGAGCTAGTGGGTATGTCGACGACATTCTATCATGTGACTGGCGCGAAATTGGAAAAACACAAACACCAGAATAAAAATGGTCATGTACAATGAAGACACCAATGAAATTTGCCTAATTGGAGACAATTTGTGACTCGGGAACTTCCGGCACCAGAATTGTCAGACAAATTTAAGGAACGGAAAGAGACTTGGTTGTTTATGACCAAATAACAAACTGTCTACATGACTGTGTCATGTTCCGCCTCCGCCACCATCCGAGCGTAAACTAAATGAAGTATTTCCAGTAGGTGAGATTATGTCTGACATGGACTATATGTGTGAAAGGGCAACTCTGGACAAACTGTGAGCCTGATTCTGTGAACATTGTCTGGATTTCATATGTGAACAATGCTATTAGTCATTTAACATGAATATCATGATGTGAGGCTGCCAACATTTCAGTCCAAGACATTTTTGAGATTGAGTCACAGGACAGCAAGCGAGGAGGTCCAAAGGTTGTTATGGCATTGGCCTAGAATCACTGGTATTCAGCACCCGACCTAAAGCAGTTATGGTATAATTAAGTCTTGGTAGCCTGAGAAAGTGAAGGACAGAAGGGAGATGTGGAGTCGGAACCCTGACTGGTGATATTGTCCATTGTGTCGACTGTCAACTTTGCTTGATGTGTGAGCTGTTCATCTATATATGTGTGTGTGTGTGTGTGTGTGTGTGTTATGTGGACTGACTGCCAGTCAGTGACACAGGAATGCACCAGACTGTGACTGAGTCTTAGAGACAATCTTTAAATTAAACATACATAAAAATCCTCACTTCTTTCACAGGCCTTTAACAAAATACAGGCATACCTGTAAACACACCGAGATATCCACCTGTACACATACATGGACGTACTCAAATGAGAGTATGTAATCTTCTTGATAGCTGCTTTAGGTAAACTCTTCAGGGGTTATTGGGATGAAAAGGATGACATATCATGATTCCTTAGCTGTTGTGCCTGGTTTCTCTCTGCTCTTTGCTGTACTGTAGCTGCTCTGTGTTGGCAGAGAGAGATGCTCTGTGGACCACTACAGGGAATCTGCTAGTGTTTCTCATGCAGCCAGTCCTGGGTTCTGTCCAGCTAAGCAGCTGTGGGAATTCCTGTCTGGAGAGCAATATTTAACTGCGTATGTCCAGTTCTAATGGCAACGTCTGATAGTGATTTCCCTTTTGTAGCGTACATGCTGGCAAATGCACTCTAATGCAGTACAAGCAAAACATGCATGCAGATAAAGTCTGCATTCTTGTTTTGTCATCTCTTTCACTCTGTCTCGTCTGCGATTCCAAAGAACACCTTTGACAGTCTCTAACTTCCTGACACAACATGGCCATTTTCAGTTATCCTCACAAGCGTTTTCAACTGTAATTCAGCGTCTCTAGCGTGGCAT